TGAACCATTTGCCACTGTGAATTGAATAAGTTACAGTTAAAACATCTGTAACAAATCTGTATTTGTGAATGCACTACTGGCCCCTTAGTATATTCGGATCTTGGATCTGCTTGTATGAGATGAGTGTGAGTAGACGTATTGGCCTCGTACACTGTTAATGATGGCACCTTTAGTTTGTGACAAAGTGGTTATAAACCCTTACATCTACTCAGTGAAGTGAATAGCCTCAGGTGACACAGATGAAACAAATCATCCTACAAAAGATTTACTTGTCTATCTGCAATCTTATCTTTTCTACATCCATTCAAAGAGCAACATTTATAGAGCTCCCAGGAACAGAGCTGAGGCTGTCAATTTGCTAGAGGTCCCTCCCCTGTCACCTTTTTTTCTTTTGGTGTCTGGAAAATGTGTCAGAACGGAATCAGGCTTATAGAGGCACGAAGCATCAGACAAAAATTAAACTTAGTGCTCTTAATTGAGACAAGTACACACTATAGAGGGATATGCTTTGTTCATATTTAATGTCTGAGGTTTACGAGCACTTTAATGTTTGTCTGCTCTTAGTATATTTAGGCGCTTGTGTGCTGTATGTCTTACTATTTGATAACAAATGGTATATGTTTGAACCTAGAGTAGTCTATCCATGGGGTTCTTATTGCATGTTTGTTCTGCCAGTTGTTCATTGCTTTGGTAAATGATGAAGCAACTATCTTCCCAGGATATCCACGAAAGAGAAGCCACTCTTTCATAAGTTTAAGGAATGTTCACTGAGCTCTGAGCATATACAGTATGTAGCATTCTTAGAAACTGTGACATGGAAAGACCCTGGATGAGGTATTCAGGATGTACGCTTTTATAATGAAATGTATTGTTCGTGCCCATAGGTTTTGTAAAAAGTGAGATGTCCAGTTTTTTGTCTATTTACTCTGACCATGACATCCAAAACAGACAATCCTGTGTGTGAAATTTCGGGTGTGAATACAGTATCATTGAAAATACCTCATAGAATAATGACAAACACATCACCTATACAGTGGACCCACATATATACAAACAGTGTAAATAGAATAAAATAATAAATTAACTTTTCTTCCCCAAAACCCACTAATAAATTAGCTAATTCTGATGCAGCAGAACTGACCATTTCTGTTATTGAACATCTGTGTTCAAACAAAAGAAATTAAGGACTGATTTAAGGCCTTCCAAAATATAAAATTGGGTAATGAATGATCATGGTTTTTCTGGAGGAGGTTTTCCACCACCTCAAGTCCTGGTTCATTTGGTATAAAGGTATGTAGCATATCCCCGAAGGAGCGGCTGGTGAACTTGGTCTTATTCCCCCAGTTAGATCAACCACAGCTAGGCACACAGAATTGTATTCACTCTTTCACTGGCTCAAAGAAACCGTCTAGGGATATCTTTGTTTGGTTTTTATTGGAACAGGGAGCATGGGATACCCCAATAAACTAAAGAACTGAATGACTTGAGGACTCCTTAATTTTCTAGCTGTACTGTGCAAAAGGAATGTTCCAAATGATCTTTATGCTGTCGGTGACTAGTACTCCTTCCAGAGATTAAAAGCTACACAGTCACTGACTTCACAGCACTAGGGTCCATTACTCACAAAGCCACAGGAGCACTGGGTGCCTCTTGCTGATATCCACTGGGCTCTTCTCATTGAGGGAGATGCAGACTCATATCACCATAGGGTGGGCAGCTGGACTCTTTACCACCAACGTCCTCCTGGCTCACTCTAGTGAGCTTTGCCAGAGACAACTTGATTCCAGGACTTAGTTTCTGCAAACAGCCCCCCAGCTAAGCCTAGCTGGTACTTCTGTGTTTTCCTGATGGCTCCTTCTAGTGCTCTGCTCCAGGAAGCAGAGCTCCTGCACAGGGGTCTCCTCTAGCAGGACTGGACCCAAGAACTCTGTACATGATGCCTCAAGCCTCAGACTATTTAAAGGCTATCCAACCACCAACTGGGCACACCTTCCCAGGAATTTGCTGGAGTCCCATAAATATTTAGGCTGCCTACTCTGTCCTTAATCCCACTATGATTCTAGAATCCTCTAGAAAGCAGGGGGAAGTAATCTGAACAGAGGCCTGTGAGACATTAAGCAGTCCTAAACAATCAACCTGCTCATTTGAATACAGTGGAGCCAACTATATGTACAGTATCTCACAGAAGTACACCCCTCACATTTTCGTAAATATTGTATTATATCTTTTCATGTAACAACACTGAAGAAATGAAACTTTGCTACAATGTAAAGTAGTGAGTGTACAGCTTGTATAACAGTGTAAATTTGCTGTCCCCTCAAAATAACTCAACACACAGCTATTAATGTCTAAACAGCTGGCAACAAAAGTGAGTACACCCCTAAGTGAAAATGTCCAAATTGGGCCCATGTGTCAATATTTTGTGTGGCCACCATTATTTTCCAGCACTCTTGGGCATGGAGTGAACCAGAGCTTCACAGGTTGCCACTGTAGTCTTCTTCCACTCCTCCATGATGACATCACTGAGCTGGTGGATGTTAGAGAACTTGCACTCCTCCAGCTTCCATTTGAGGATGCCCCACAGATGCTCAATAGGGTTTAGGTCTGGAGACATGCTTGGCCAGTCCATCACCTTTACCCTCAACTTCTTTAGCAAGGCAGTGGTTGTCTTGGAGGTGTGTTTGGGGTTGTTATGTTGGAATACTGCCCTGCAGCCCAGTCTCCGAAGAGAGAGGATCATGCTCTGCTTCAGTATGTCAAACTACATGTTGGCATTCGTGGTATCCTTAATGAACTGTAGCTCCCCAGTGCCGGAAGCACTCATGCAGCCCCAGACCATGACACTCCATGCTTGACTGTAGGCAAGACACACTTGTCTTTGTACTCCTCACCTGGTTGCCGCCACACACGCTTGACACCATCTGAACCAAATAAGTTGATCTTGGTCTCATCAGACTACAGGACATAGTTCCAGTAATGCATGTCCTTAGTCTGCTTGTCTTCAAACTGTTTGCAGGCTTTCTTGTGCATCATCTTTAAAGGAGGCTTTCCTCTGGGACAACAGCCATGCAGACCAATTTGATTCAGTGGGCGGGGTATGGTCTGACCACTGACAGGCTGAACCCTTTCCTCTTCAACCTCTGCAGCAATGCTGGAAGCACTCACACGTCTATTTCCCAAAGACAACCTCTGGATATGACGCTGAGCATGTGCACTCAACTTCTTTGGTCAACCATGGCGAGGCCTGTTCTGAGTGGAACCTGTCCTGTCAAACTGCTGTATGGTCTTGACCACTGTGCTGCAGCTCAGTTTCAGGGTCTTGACAATCTTCTTATAGCCTAGGCCATCTTTTTGTAGAACAATTCTTTTTTTCAGATCCTCAGAGAGTTCTTTGCCATGAGGTGCCATGTTGAACTTCCAGTGACCAGTATCAGAGAGTGAGAGTTATAACACCAAATTTAACACACCTGTTCCCCATTTACACCTGAGACCTTGTAACACTAACGAGTGACATGATACAGGGGATGGAAAATGGCTAACTGGGCCCAGTTTTGACATTTTCACTTAGGGGTGTACTCACTTTTGTTGTAAAGGTTTAGACATTAATGTCTGTGTGTTGAGTAATTTTGAGGGGACAGCAAACTTACACTGTTATACAAGCTGTACACACTACTTTACACTGTAGCAAAGTGTTGTCACATGAAATGATATAATAAAATATTTACAAAAATGTGAGGGGTGTACTCACTTCTGTGAGATACTGCAGCTATTCTGGTTCAAACCCAACTACTTTTGAAAATTTTCATGATGAGAAGTTTCTGGGTACACTAGACCAGAATATCTTGTTAGTACTGGAAGAAGAAATGCCCCTTTCCCAGTCCTCCCCTGATGCAGAGTCTACTGGGGAAATGTATCTTTAATGGACCACTATTTGGCACAGTAGGAAAAGGTAAGTGTATACTTTCTTTGCAGTAAAGATGTCTTATATAATTCAGTTAAGGACTGGATTACTTTATGTATGTAATACTTAACAATGAACTTTTCTTTTCTTCTATTTTTTCCTTTTAAAATGCTTTTAAAAGTGGTCTGATACTGTGTATCTGTTAGATAAGTGCAGAGTTGCTAGATAATACTGAGTGTCTTGTCCACCCTGCCCGTGTTACCTCAAGGAGTCTAATCAGTCCTCCCAGCTCGTCCCTTGGACAATACCCCTCCCACCATGTTGAGAGATAATGAGAGGGGAATGTTTTTTGCAGTACAGTATAGCAAACAAAACTGGGTAAGGCTGACATTCTCTTGCTATTTCAGTTCAGAAAAGGCACTATGTTATCTGTCACAAGAGGAAATTAGAATACAAAAATGTTTCTGGCAGGATAACAAAGTATTTGTCTCTACTTTCAGGGTCTATAAAGAGACAAAGCATGGAAAAATGTGTATATTGCAGAGAATAAATCTGTTCTCAAGTAATATCTGGATGTTGGATGACCAAACATACAGTAGTAACCTGTAACATCAGTATTTGAAATCAAAATGTAATTATAATGAATGTAAAAACTGTGTTAACATTATGAAAAGTACAAAGCAACATTGTTCATTTTTGCTTTAACCTGAGTTATGAAATATTTCCATTATATTTCCAGATATTCAGGAAACGCACAAGCAGCATCTGATGGAGAAGACTGAGACTCTATTGGAGCATAGACCCCCAGGAACTACCCTGGAGCCACAGAGATTCCTCATCAACGAGCGTTATGTGAACCTGATTGTTGTCTCTACCCATCAATTCAGGCAGCGTCCCCAAAATGAGCTAATACAGACTGGGGTAAAACATGAGAAATGCTTAAAGGAAACACAAACTGGACTGGAACACATTTCACCCAGCAGGCTGTTCCACTGGAGCCGCCAGTCACAATGTGTACCACATGCAGTAATGGTGAGTGGAGTGCCAGGAATAGGGAAGACCACACTGATGCAGAAGTTTGTCTATGACTGGGTGACCGGGAAAATCTACCAGAGATTTGCTTTCACCTTCCTTTTTAGATTCCGGGATCTGAATAGACTAGGAGAGGTCAGCTTGGAGGAGATGATTCTTCATCAATATCCATATCTGGAGGGTCTGATTGGAGATATCTTCCAAGATCCAGAGAGACTTCTGTTTATATTTGATGGTTTAGATGAAAGTATTCACCAAATGGATTTCAGATCAAGTAAACTATCCAGTCCAAAACACAGAACACATTTTGGTGAGATTGTGGTCAGTTTGGTGGGGCAGAGTCTTCTTAAGGGTTGCTCTGTACTAATAACCAGCCGTCCAACCAGACTGGCATCAGTTGATATTCATGTTTTCGAGAGAATAGCTGAGATCATGGGATTTCTCCATGAAGACAGACTGATCTTCTTTTATAATTTCTTTGGAAATGAAGAATTGTCAGAGAAAGCTTTCCATTATGTGCAGGAGAATGACACACTGTACACTTTCTGTTATATCCCATCATACTGCTGGATCATTTGTACAGTGTTATCGATGTGCTTCAGAGCCCAACCAACAAACACTGATCAGCTGATGGCATCATTACCCAAAACAGTGACACAACTGTTTGTGACTTTTGTTGCCCATATTCTGGCCAATCACAACCAGAATAAAGATGGTGGCCACACTGCCCAGGAACTGCTGACATCTATTGGGTGGATGGCAGAACATGGAGTTATGAATCACATGATTGTATTTGATGAGTGGCATCTGGATTCATTCAGTGTGAGAAATGATAAATATATCTTTTCATGTTTCATGATGGAATCTGGTCAGCCTCCTGATGTGGATTACACCTTCTTACATCTCACTCTTCAGGAGTTTTTTGCTGCTTTAGTCCATTTTATTAATTATGATCCTGACAGATTACAGGAAACACTCGATAAGGCTGAATCTTATGAAGATGGCCGTGCTGAAATATTCCTCCGTTTCCTCTGCGGTCTCTCAGACTCTTCTACTAGATCCATGCTACAGTCTCAAGTGGGAAAATTGTCTACTCAGGCAGCCAGACATGTCATCACCTGGATTCAGAGAAAAGTCACAGAAGAGCAAAAACCCGGAAAACCAAGAGGGCACAAGAGAGAGCTTCTGAATGTATTCTACTATCTCAATGAGAGCAGGAATAAGGCTCTGGTGTCACAATGTATTGGATCAAAGGACGTTGACCTTTATAATGTCCCCCTCACCCCTCTGGACTGCTCTGTCCTATCTTTTATCCTTCAATCCTGCAGAGAGACAGAAGAAGTACATTTAAGTACATGTAATATTCCAAGTGAAGGACTGAGGAAACTTATACCAGCTTTAGGTGCTATCAAGAGTTTGAGGTAAATAAAATGCGAATAATCACATTACTATAATAAATTGTTATTTTCAGGGTTTTTTTCAGAGAAATTATTAGTATGATTTGGTTTTGTTATATACAGACTGAACATATCAGAAATTTTTGTCATCTGTGTCCCATTGGGGTGATCTCCGTTCGCTTCCTGTCCTATAGCCAAACAAGGATGTTTAATTTTCACAGAGAAATACAGCACATTTCTTTCAAAATGTGAAATTAATATCCAGAATGAACAGATGAATGAATTTGAATTTCTATCTTTTGATTGATGGAAAACTGCACAGTGTATGTTAAAAAGTAGTTGAGGCTCTTAAAATTGGGTGTGTGATTGAAGCAGTGTGCTTTAGTTATAACATGAATATGGGGGATGTTGGTTAGAGAGGAACATGTTGGCGCATAGATGAGGTAGTGTGCATTGCTCTATGAGACAGAAAATAGTGGACATGACCCTACCTCTAGCCTCCCACAGGAACATATGGTCCCCTCCTCCCAAGGACAGAGCTCCCCTGCCCCATAGCACCCCCAGCATACAGAGCTCCCCCCACCTCATAGCACCCTCCAATATACAGATCTCCCCTCACCTTCTAGCAACCCCCCCTCAAATACACAGATCTCATCCACCTCCCAGCACCTTCCAATACACACAGATCCCTCCACCTCCTATTACCCCTTAAAACACAGAGCCCCCCACCTCCTAATACCCCCAATACATGGAACTCCCCCTCCCCTTCCCAGCACTCAGAGTACACAGAGCTTCCCCCACCTCCGAGCACCCCCAATACACAGAGCTTCCCCCTACCTCATAGCACCCCCCAGTACACAAAGCTCCCCCCACCTCCTAGCACCCCCAATACACAGAGTCCCACACATCCTAGCACTCCTCAATACACAGAGCTCCCCCAACTCCTAGCACTCCCAATACACAGAGCTCCCCCACCTCCTAGCACCCCCCAATACACAAAACTCTTGTCACCTCCTAGTACCCCCCTAATACACAGAATCCCTCCACCTCCTAGCACTCCCAACACAAAGGGCTCCCCCCACCTCCTTACACCCCCAATACATAGAGCTACCCTCACCTCCTATCACTTCCCAATACACAGAGCTACCCCACACCTCCTAGCCTCCCAATACACAGATCTCCCACCTCCTAGCCCTCAATATACAGAGTTCCCCCCACCTCCTAGCACCCCCCAAAACACAAAGCTCCCCCGTCTCCAAGCACACCCCAATACACAGAGCTCCCTTCCACCTTCTAGTGACCAAGTACAAAGAGTGGGTGCCCACTACACAGAGCTCCTCCCGTCGCACTCCATTATATATAGCTCCCGCCTCCTCCTGCAGCTGCTTAGTACAACCCTACTAGAGAGCTCACCATGCCTATCCTCCTGGCAGATGCTTCTTTTGAACTGAGGATGTGATGTTACTTGATGCGCGCGCTGTGTCATATGTAAACACAGAATCGGCACAGGAAGCCGATTCTGTGTTTACAAGTGACAGTGGCTGGCAGGGAGCAGAGGATTAGTGCTGGAGGTGACTGTACAGGGTACCACTGCACTCCAGATGGAAAAAAATCACTCCTGTCTGTTAGTGACTTCACATACGGTCAGTGCCCGGGCACGTGTCCCTTTTGGCCCTGCCTTGTCCCGGTCCTGGAAATGTTCATAGTTCATTTGTATTAATTAACAAAATGGAAAGTAAATGAACACTAGAGAAATTCAAATCAGCATTTACTGTCACCACTATTTGCCTTTGAAATAGCATCAATTCTTCTAGGTACACTTACACACAGTTTTTGAAGAAACTTGGCAGGTAAGTTGTTCCAAACATATTGGAGAATTAACCACAGATTTTCTGTAGATGTAGGCTTGTGCACAGGGTGCAGCGTGGAGTGGTGGGGAGCAGTGAACACACAAAGGTAAAGATAATATCAACAATGTTTTGAAGAAGGTCCCAACAACATACAAACAGGCTCAGAGGGTAGCACAGCCGTCCAGTGCAATATACAGCACTGTAGCAGTGGTATTCTTCCTCAGATGAAGCCGGTCAACACCCAAATGGGAAGGCTTCCTAGGAGAGGAGCGTAGTCCCTGCACTTTCCCTACTCCTCCAGACCTGTCTCTATCACTAATCACTGTCCCTAACAGGTGGGGATCCTGTCCCTACTTGAGCCATTTGCACAATGTGTGTCAACTGCAGTGAGCCAGGGCTTTTTGTAAGTTTCATCCTCACTAAAGTTGGCTACCAGGGTCACAAGGGAGCTAGCATTCAATCAGACAGCTGTACCCAAGTGGCCAAGGAAACTGGCAAGTCACAACTTCCTTCCCCTTACTGTATTGCCACATTGATTTAGCACCACCTGCAGTGAGGAATAAAGACTGCACCTGCCTACAAGCTGCCTCAGATCCTTCTTTCTCGTTAATGTAATCCCAGACAGACTTAATGGTGCTGAGATCAGGGCTTTGTGGAGGCCATCCAATCACTTCTAGGACTCCTTGTTCTTCTTTACACTGAAAATAGTTCCTAATGACATTGACTGTACAATTGGGGTTGTTGTCCTACTGCAGAACAATTTAGTGCAAGTCACATGCTTCCCTGATTGTATGGCATGATGGATAAGTATCTGCCTGTATTTCTCAGCATTGAGGACACCATTTATCCTGACCAAATTTCCAACTCCAACACATGGTTACCTGCGGACACTCATTATTGTACCGCACTCCAGCCCTTAAGCAAACAAACTGCCTCCTGCCACAGCCAAAAATTTTAATACATCAGTCCAGAGCACCTGCTGCCAGTCTTCTTCAACCCAGGTTTCCGTGCATAGTGTATTTGCTTCGCCTTGTTTCCACGTTGGAGGTATGGATTTCTGGCTGCAATTCTTCCATGAAGACCACTTCTGGCCAGACTTCTCTGGACAGTAGATGTGTGTCCCTGGGTCCCACTGGTTTCTGCCAGTTCTGTGCTGATGGTACTGATTGACATCATCCATTGTTGAAGGGAAGTAAGCATGATGTGTATTTCATCTGCTGAAATTAAGTTTCCTTGGGCAACCATTGCGTCTACAGTCAGTTTCTTTGTGCTTCTTCTAAAAAGCTTGAACATCACTTCTTGCAATCTCTATCTGCTTTTAAATTTTTGCCTGGGAGAGACCTGGTGTCTTGTTACTTTGCTCAGCCTCTGGCTTGGGGCACCTTTGACCCCTGGGTGTTTCTCGGCTTCTTGGCCTGTCCCATCCCCGACAGCACAATGTAAAAGTGCACCTCTCTGCTCTCTTGTAACACCCACCGATTCCCTTGGTTGGGGGTGGAACCCTGAGCTCTAATTCTGTCTCTCCTAAATTACCGGCACACAACTGTGCCATCAATGGACCTGTTTTCTCCAAAACCCGGCCCAGTCTGCTTTATCACACAATGGTAAGGCCTCACCCTGCACATCAATAGTTCCCAATATACAATCTTCATTATAGGGCATATTTTCTAAAACTCTGTATAATACTGTATGCTTAGTATCTTGAAGATCGGAATCAGTCCTCTTAACCACTGGTTGGTAAAATCAAAAGTCTTAGGTAATGTTTCACAAAAGGGTAACCACTTGGCTAGTAAGTTGCTCTGCAGTATAATTGTCAGGGGAAAAGACGAGGAGCCTGGGCAAATGCTCCAATGTGCAATATGGCCACGCCAATTCACCCAAAGAAGTGCATATGCGCATAAGCGGGTGACACGTAATCGTGCATTCCTGTGCATGAAAACGCACCGGCACACGCAGGGTGCACTAATTGCTGACACTTAGTGGTCTTTATATGGACTGCAGCTCTGCTCAGTGATTGCTGGATTATCGTCAGCCACTCCTTTTTCGGTTTTTATGAGTTTACTGCTGAGTACCCATTACCGACCCGGCTTGATCCTGACCTTGTTCCTGTCTGCTGCTCTGTGTATGACCCTAGCTTGATCCTGACCTTGCTCCTGTCTGCTGCTGCTCTGTGTATGACCCTGGCTTGATCCTGACCTTGCTCCTGTCTGCTGTTCCATATTGATCCTGGCTCTGGCTTCGGACTACTCTACCCATCCTCCGGGGTCCACGTGTCCTCTGGAGAAACTCCTCCTGCAACAGGAGCACCCATGGGTTCCATCTCATCAGGCATCTCCAAGCAGCAACACCACTGGCAACCCATACTTCTTTGGGCACTGCACCTCCTGTTTCTACCTCCAGGGGTGCACTGCACTTAGCCATAAGTGGAGCCCTCTCTCTATTGCAGCCTCCGGTCAGGTACGTGACAATAATTGATCCCCCAATGACAATTAAAACTTTTCTAGATAGGGTGAGATTTTATTTGTGTGGCAAATGCGAGGCGTGTCAGAATAATTTAGAATAAATTGTCCACGCAAGTGAAACAGGCCATTGTAACACTTCAAAAATTAAGCAAATCCATCATAGGGATAGAAGCAACATTAGGAGTGGCCAAATCAACAGTTTGATACATTCTGAGGAAAGAAGAATGCATTGTGAGCTCAGCAACATAAAAAGGCATGCATATCCACAGAAGACAACAAATGTTGATGATCACAGGATCCTCTCTATGGTAAAGAAAACCCATTCACAACATCCAGACAAGTAAAGGACACTCTCCAGGAGGTGGGCATATCATTGTCAAAGCCTACAATCAAGAGAAGACTGCATGAGGTCAAATACAGAGAGTTTACCACAAGGTGCTAACCATTCATAAGCTTGAAGAATAGATTAGACTTTGCCAAAAAACATTAAGAAAGCCAGACCAGTTCTGGAAAAGCAATCTTTGGACACTGAAACTAAGATTAATCTGTACCAGAATGACAGGAAGAAAAAAGTGTGGAGAAGGCTTGGAACAGCTCATGATCCAAAGCACACAATGTCATCTGTAAAACATGGTGGAGGCATTGTGATGACATGGGCATGCATGGCTTCCAGTGGCACTGGGTCATTGGTGTTTATTGATGATGTGACAGA